TTTTAATTAAGTATTACTTATATAATCTCATGGTCTTTAGATTTATCGTTAAACACGTTTAGTCGGGATTATGTTGAGAAATGTAAATCTTGCATGTCATTGGTATGTATATATGTACATACGCAGAATCAAATGATCTGACTATATCAATATCTGATTACTAATAATATTTATAAAATGATTGTGATTACGATTGATTGCGATTGCGATTGCTAAAGCTGGCTAATTTATAATAAATCTGAGTTAGATATATAATAAATTTGCTAGCTTTAGCAATCGCAATCGCAATCGCAATCGCAATCACAATCACAATCATTTTATAAATATTAGTAATCAAGGGAGTCAGAATTTTGCAAAGCAGAATAATTTAATTATTGAAATACAAGTGCCACTGGCGCTTCTGTAGCATTACTTGTGCCAATTTTGGTCAAATTCTTTACTGAGTAATAATTTATTAATAAAAAAAGTTGTTATAGAAAATTACTATGTTTTCTTAAGGACTCATGGCACTTCTATATTGAATAATTGTGTAAATTTTTAAAATTCTGAGTTAGTTATATCCAGAGTTCATTACTAATTATAGAATTAACTAACACTTATCAGTTCATCGCTTGACAATCATATGCGATTATAATTTTAAGCAAGAAAACCTGCATCTAACGAGATAATACAACAGCCATCACAAAAACAGTCTATAAAAGGCTAAAGCAGCAAATTACATAGTAATCATGCATGAGAAAACTGATCTTCAAAAGTAGTGTCACAAAAAAAATAGTGACCTGTACAATTGTATAATCAAATCAACTTTAAGATTTTGCCTTTCATTACAAAAACTTCGATGAAATAAAACAAAGCAATTTTTCAGAGAATAGGCTTACAAACCTGAAACAAACAATTGCAAAGAAATCAAACAGTCTAAATATTGCGCAAGATAAACTTTGCATTCTGAAATTTTTCTAGAGCTATACTTGTGCTCTTGTTTTGATTTTGTTCTGTTTTGCATCAAAGAATTGATCAATCTTGATAATGTATTACTCAAATAAATCAGCACTAACCCGTAATAAAATCAAAAAATATATTACGCAATTCTTTAAGGGTGTTAAACAAATTGTAAAACAATAGATTAGGAAGGATAGGAAATTTGAACATGATTAACAGAACGGCAAAAAAAAAATTTACTCTGCCAATAGTTTCAATTCTTACAACATGGAGACCAGTTATTCATGAGTTCTAAACCTGTAATCAGTATAATTATGATTATTTAGTAATCTGCTTTATTTAAAAAATTGTAAAACTCAATATATCCATATTTAGAAGTGGGTTTGAATCAAAAACGTAATCATTTTCAAGTAATAATCATTTAATAGTATATGTTTGTTGGTTACATTCTTGATTCAAAAATCGGATGGACACTGAACAATTTTATATTTAAATTCATATAACAGTGATCGTAACAGTAATTTGATTTTTTTAATATGGAAGAATTTGAAGACGACATAAACGATATTGATGTAAATTCGTGGTATTCTTCTGTTTCAGAAAGTTATTTTAATACAAATGAAACTTCTGAGAACAATTTTGCCTCAACATCCGCTGAAACTTCTTCAAATACTACATCATATTCTGATTATGGTCGAAAAAAAAGAAAGTCAAATGTTAATCCAACCTCTTTAGTTGGAACTACACAACGTAAAAATCAAAGTCATACTAGTTATTTTTTTCGAAGTGAGTCAAACAATAAAGAAATCGCATATTGTAAAATATGCGAGAATAATTTAAAAGATACTCAGCAAAAACCTTATCCATACGTACGTAAGGGAGGTAATACTTCTAA